AATACCTTACGTTAAATATTGCCAATTAGAGACTTCGAGGAAGAAGAGCCCGGAGTAGACGAAATAAGATCCGATAATAAATTGTTGGCCTTCCTTCCCTGGTATAATAAACGTTGCAAGTTTTATTGCATTCGATATTAATTTCGCGCATACGCAAAATTATTATATACATAATAACGTAATGAGACGAGGAATCGCCTCGATATGAAGCTTTATAAAGTGAAACGTAAAACTTATTGAGTTGTATATTGTATGCATCGTTAATTATCACGCCAGATTTTATTCTTATATTAGAAAGTAAACTCATCTTTTTGGGGAAAATAGTTGTGAGACTAGAATGCAAATATAATTCGGAATATAATTCAATTTTAGTAAGTTCAAACATATACACATTCGACTCTTCGAATTTCAAAAAAGCTATTGCACAGCCTAAACTATTGCAGGGCTTAGAGCTTTTTATGGGGAATAACAAGCTTAGCTTTTATAGTTGCCTATTGTGGATAGGAAGACTTTCTTAATGACATTATCTGGCGTCGCATTGCGTCAATGTGATATTGGCGGATTTTCAAGCACTTTGGTCACAATGATTCTTCATTGAAATAGAGTTGATAGAACTCAAATCTAATTATGCGGTGGAAAGCGTCATAAAAATAGGTTTTATTACGAATAATTACACGTGCGCAAAAATATATACGTTATTTTGAAAATATTCGCCTCTGTAAACTTAGCGGTTGAGTCAGAATTCTATCAAAAAGTTCCAAAATAGATCGCTATAATAGTAATAACTTCACGGTAATGAAATATTGTACTTTGATAATGAATGAAACATTAAGATTAGTGTCATTATTATTATTGAATTAAATATTCAGATAATTAATTAAATAATTGAATATTGTTCCAAGTGTTGTTCTGTTAAGAATAGATTCAAATATGAATATTTCAGAACGATTCTGCTTACTTTGATAAATTCGATTTAATCTGTATGTTAAGATTAGCATGATGAAATACTTTAAGAATTTTATTTTCGACTCAAAATATCAAAAACGTGTGTCAAAAAACTAGATTATGCTTTAAATTTCCTTTTTTTACGGATATTTGTATTTCTAAAACGCTATTCTAACGCTATTCTTAAAGCCGTATCGAAACACTAAATATATTGAGGGTTATTGACACTCGGTTTGATGCTTTGACAGCACTTTATACACAATTCATCATTTTGCTATCAAACCTTTACGATACTGTTACGAAGTAATGATCTATCTTAACAATATTAACTGCGGTATATTGATTTATCAATAACGTAGCGCATGCAATTTTGCTAATAGTACAGCCATTATCGGTTGACTATTACAATGACGGTTGAAAATTATCGTAGTCATTTGCCACGTTCGTAAACCGCGAATATGGGGGGGGGGGGAAGGAGGAAACTCTATTATATTGTTAACTATAAAGCATTTCTACAAAGATATACCACTACAAAGAGAATTTTACTCTCTCCTCCTTGGGAATGTCCCTTTCTTTCTATGATGCTCTCGATAAGAAAAGTTGTAAAAATAGAGATATTAAACACTAAAAATACGTTAGTAGTCGAATATTACAACACTACTTATAATTATGTATAATGTTATCGTGATTTCCTTCTTGTTTTTATTCTCTCGTTACAAAGAAGGAAAGTTTTAAGTATATATATGTATATAATTTGAAAAGTTTTAAATGTATTCGTTCAAATAATTCGTTGCAAAATTTGATAGATTTTATTCTATCGAATAATATATTCCATTTCGTATAAATATCTCATTGCGGTATCATTATATTATAATTAGTTTTATTGATATTAGTTAGAACTGTATTAATAACATCTGGTAGCAAATTACTTTTAAGTATTTTCTTTTAAATTAGTACTTGATTATCCTTGTATTATTTCTTTATAAAAATAGATTAGAACTTTTAAATATTGCTTTATTATTTGCAAATTATGAAATATCTTTTATACATAATCGATTTTTATATGCACAATAGTTTTTGATTATCATTTTAATTCGAAAGTAAATGTAAAAAATGTGACAATTCCTGAATTTTATACTCTCCGATATTCTCTCTTTATTTTTTTAATTCCTTGTATACATGACGGATAAAACGCACAATCGCATCGAGAAAAGCTGTCATCAGCCGCTTTTTTTTTTTTTACAATAGAAAGTTTACACAACGTAATATTATCGGGGAATGTCGTCCGTTGTTCTTTGGGTCGCGCATAGTCATCCAACATACTTCCATTTCCCGCTCGTTATCGTGATGAAAGTAAATTATTTAGCAGTCGCTAATTAATTAGTACCATCAGGGGAACAGCGAATGCTGCTTCATCGCGATATAATTTCCCAGGCCAAGCAGATTCAGCTGCGTGAGATAATTACCTGCGTATTCCCGACGCGCCTTTGTATACATGACGGATAAAACGCACAATCGCATCGAGAAAAGCTGTCATCAGCCGCTTTTTTTTTTACAATAGAAAGTTTACACAACGTAATATCATCGGGGAATGTCGTCCGTTGTTCTTTGGGTCGCGCATAGTCATCCAACATACTTCCATTTCCCGCTCGTTATCGTGATGAAAGTAAATTATTTAGCAGTCGCTAATTAATTAGTACCATCAGGGGAACAGCGAATGCTGCTTCATCGCGATATAATTTCCCAGGCCAAGCAGATTCAGCTGCGTGAGATAATTACCTGCGTATTCCCGACGCGCCTTTGAAACACTTTGCTGTTGCGATCTTTTTTTATCTTTTCCACATTTTTTTTTTTTTTTTTTTTTTTTTTTTTTTTTTTTTTTATTAACTTTTTTTTTTTTTTTTTTTTTTTTTTTTTTTTTTTTTTTTTTTTTTTTTTTTTTTTTTTTTTTTTTTTTTTTTTTTTTTTTTTTTTTTTTTTTTTTTTTTTTTTTTTTTTTTTTTTTTTTTTTTTTTTTTTTTTTTTTTTTTTTTTTTTTTTTTTTTTTTTTTTTTCTTTTTCTTGTCAATCACACCGGCTGGTATCAACATCGATCGCAACTGATGGTGGTGCGCGGTACCAGAGGCACCACAATGCATAGATAAAAGTTGAAAAAAAAAGGATATATAAATTTTTTGTCGCGAGAAAAATGCACAACGCGTCGAAAAACATTATCGAAACATCCATAAACATGCGTAAAAATAACGGCGAAAAGTGTTTTTGCATTTTTCAAGGATATTATAGCAATTAAAAATTTCACCGAGATCAAATACCGCGATAATCCTAATTCGAGTTGAGCTTTTATCGAGAGACACGCAAATAGTATTTTCGTCGTTCGACACGAAATAGAAAATTATAAATGCCACGCCTCGCGCACGCGAAATGATGCACGTATATCATTTCCGACAATCCAGCAATTGCACCTTTTTTTTTGTTTTTTGCATAAAATTGCAAGCTACCAGTATTGTAGTCGAAGCGACAGCGGAGACGATAGATAGCGATTTACAGACGCGACATAAATGCAATAAAGTCTACCTACGTATACACAAGTGAATTTATCGTGTGCTCGGCAACTATTATCTGATCCGCGCGGATAGGCATTATAATACACCCGCGCAGAAATGCGTGCGTATGCAAATCGCGTGTCATTATATTGCCAGTTCTATTTGTAGGGAGACTAGTGTGTATACGAAACTCATCTTGTGTACCGAGTATAGTTCATAGAAATGGAACGTTCACCGGCATTAAAATTGCATTCTCCGCGATCGATGTGTGCCTCTTATACAAATTAGAGATGCTGAAGTGTCGCAAGCTACTCCGATTACCCTTAGCTGACATACGCAATTTTCGGTCGCGCGAGTCGCATGTATCTCCATTCACAATGCAACCGATTGAAAGCATTAAAAAATCGCGTAGTAAAATTTGAAAAAGTAATTTATATTAATGATAATCCTAAAATTAATTTTTATAATTTATAACATTTTATGTCATTTTTAAGACATGTAGCGCTGTAAATTATTATGGATAATGTGATATATGAGCAGTTTTTATAAATTGCTCTATATAGTAAATATATGTATAAATAATTATTTATTACATATTAAATTGTGCAATTTTTGCTGTCTTTTTTTATCTCAAACTGCAATTCATAAACTTCATCCTAATCGAAATCATACAATATTAATGTATAGGAAGAAAAAGTCTAAGTTTTATTCCATAGATAAGAGGAAATCGCATCACTCGTCGTGTGCAGGTAGAGCAGGTAAAACTGAGGAGAAAAATCTTTTATCATTTTATGATTTTTGCAATAATTATTGAGAAATTAATTAAAAAAGATCGGCTAATGCGCGCGACGAGAAAGGATGACCCATCAATATGTGGTTGCTAGAACACGAGAATCCAGCATTATATACCGCTTGTACGTAATCGTTGTCATTTGTAGAGCGCTCCTCCCAAAACTTCGTCGCGCGCCTAACGACCGCATACTTTTGGGTTGTCTCTTCTCGCTGCGTGCTTATACTCGCGCAAATTGTCCGATTTTTTAAAATTAATTTCTCAATAATTATTACGAAACTCACAAAATGCTAAACTTTTCTCTTCGGTATCACCTGCTCTACCTGCACATAACGGGTGATGCAATTGACTCTGGACTGTATGCATATTTTCTATTGCAATATAAATATGCATAAGAAAGTTATAAAAGATGTGTTTTAATTGCAATATTCATCATTTCTCTTTGACATTATTGGCAAAAGATTTTAAAAGTTTGCATGATAATGAACCTTTGTAAGCTCTGTATAAAAATTAATGAGAATAAAAAGTCCAAGCTTTATATTCATAGATCCGTTGAATTGTGATAAGCGTGCGTAAAGTTAAAGTGGTAGATCGATCTACCAAAAGAATTCCTGGTTTTATCTCTTGGACAATCTCCCGATATCATGTCGAACTTTTGCAGCCATGTGTCAAATATAACCAAATTTCTGATAATAAAACCAGCTTCTCTTTCTCTGTTGCAGCGCTGATAAGTCATGTAATTCTACGAAGCTTCGGTGTCGCGAAGATATCTCAATTTCAAGTTTCGTCCAAGGATCTAAATCGCGAGTTTGGTCGCGCGGAGACTGGGTGATGAGCAGCTCGTGGTGCAAGCGGAGGACTGCCGTCGTTGAAAGATGTTTCGCTTCAAGATTCGCATCCACACATGTCAAGTGATACTGCTGACGTCGCTGGTATGGTTCCTGGTCGACGTTATGGTGCTCATGTTCTATTCGGACTGCATCGGAGGGTCCGGATGGAACTGTCCAGATAACAAGCAACAGCAGTCCGCGCTTCAGTCCGAGGAGCCGTCCCAAGTACATCCGAAAATCCCAATCGAGGAGGCGCAAGCCCTGAAACACGAGTACGCAGGCACCAAGAGGCAGTATCCGCAGAGCGCGTTGCATGTATGGCGGTCGGCGAGAGTCATCAAGGAGAGTAAGGGCAATCCCGGCGAGATGGGAGCAGCGGTGCACATCCCGCCGGAGAAAGAGGCCAAGCAGCAGGAGCTGTTCAAGCTGAATCAATTCAATTTAATGGCCAGCGATATGATCTCCTTGAATCGATCCCTGAAGGACATCAGACTCGAGGGTTGTAAGAATAAGAAGTATCCCAAGTATCTTCCGGATACGAGTATCGTGATAGTTTTCCACAACGAGGCGTGGACTACTCTGCTGAGGACAGTCTGGTCCGTAATAAACAGGTCTCCCAGATCGCTGTTGAAAGAAATCATCCTCGTGGACGACGCGAGTGAGCGCGGTACGTTTCTTATCGGATCGCTAAATATAAATATATAACGCGCTTAATGAACATTAATTTTGTAATATACTTATATTGATTTATAATTGTCAATCAGATATTATATGTTTCACACCGAGCAACGGAAGGAAATTTAAATGTCGATATCAAATGAAGAATCTCAAATATATTATTTAAAATTTGAAACTCAAAGTAACGCCGCGGATTAAATTTTACTTTCTAGAACATCTAAAGCAAGACTTGGAGGACTATGTAACCACGCTACCTGTTCCTACATATGTGTATCGTACCGAAAAGAGGTCGGGTCTGATAAGAGCGAGGCTTCTAGGGGCGAAACACGTCAAGGGACAAGTAATCACGTTTCTAGATGCACACTGTGAGTGCACCGAGGGTTGGTTGGAGCCGTTACTCTCAAGAATCGCTAACGATAGGCATACCGTTGTCTGCCCGATCATAGACGTCATCAGCGATGACACTTTCGAATATATCCCAGCCAGTGATATGACGTGGGGTGGTTTCAATTGGAAATTAAACTTTAGATGGTATTGTATCATTATTGTATCTTGAATTCTATTATTAGCATTACGTTAATTTTGATCGAATCAGTTGAATCTCTCGCCTCCTTAAATAAGCGAAGGAAATTTGAGTTGCAAATGTGGAAATCTACATATTTTGCATGCAATGAATAATTAGATTAATACATAGCTATAAAGCTGTGTAAAATACCAAATTTATTGATCGATGTTGATATATTTGTATATAAATTTATTAGATTATGGTGAATTCATAAATCCCCTATTTTTTTAGTTGTTACGTTCGTAAATTCGCCAAGTTTTATTCTAATCTAATTACATCTATATATAACGAGCTAAAATGTAATCAATAGTAGCTTTTCTCTTCCCCTCTCTCTCTCTCTCTCTGTTCTATTCATATATGATTACAACTGTCGAGTTGACGAATTTATTACGATATTCATATTCACCGCGAACACACACATATATATAATATTGTTTAATTAAATTGAATGTAATTAATTTTGAATCAAATTGTATACATCAGTGTGACATGTTACGCATGTATAGTATCGTAATTTTTCAGATTTTAATGCTATCATAACTTTTGCTCAATAAGGTATAGAGTTGCCCAGAGAGAAATGGACAGAAGAAATGGCGACAGAACGGCACCGCTACGAACACCAACTATGGCCGGCGGATTGTTTTCCATTGATAAAGAATACTTCTACGAGTTGGGCGCGTACGACGAAGGCATGGACATCTGGGGCGGCGAAAATCTTGAAATGAGCTTCCGGGTAAGCCTGTTCGAAATACGATAAGAAAGCCTATTGATTTGACCCGAATTATCTACGTAAATTTTATGTAGCGTCCGTGAATCTAAATTGAACAGAATATCATACATAATGAATAAATTAATATATAATCTCAGATTATAATTCATTTTATTCATATATTTATTTGATTAATATACAGGATGTCTGATAATAATCGCCCCATCTGTGATGTGTAGAGCGGGTTAAACCGAGTAAGAAAATCTACCGTTTTGCAATCTTTGCAATAATTAATGAGAGATTAATTAAAAAAGATCGGCCAATTCACGCAAGTATTAGCATGCGGCGAGAAAGGGCGACCTCATTGATATGTAGTTGCTAGGACACTAGGAGAATCCAGTGTTATATACCGCTCGTAACCGTCGTCATCGTCGAGAGCGCTCCTCCCAAAACTTTGTCGTGCGCCTAGCGACCGCATACTTTTGGGTTGTCTCTTCTCGCTGTGCGCTTATACTCGCGCGAATTGGTCGATCTTTTTTAATTAATTTCTCATTAATTATTGCGAAGATCGCAAAACGGTAAAGGACTTTCCTACTTTCCTACTTTAACTCGCCTGTACATTACGGATGGAACGATTATTATCAAACACTCTGTATAATCCAAGTTGTCGATTTTTGGCGCTTTAATAAAATAATTATGTATATTTTCTACGTAAATTAATTTGTAGAAATCTTGTCTTTACGAGAAATGAATTATTTTTAATATTTATTGGTAATAATTTACGTTCAACTTCTGTTATAAATATATTATATGTATAACTGTGTAACATAAAGTGTGTGTATTTAACAAAAAAGGCGAGTTTTAAAGGGTATCTTATAAATTTTCAGTGTATCATTTGTAAAATTGTGAGTACATTATAGGTATGGCAATGTGGTGGAACATTAGAAATCAGCTCGTGCTCTCATGTGGGACATGTATTCCGGGACAAGAGTCCATATACATTCCCTGGCGGTGTCAGCAAGATAGTCCTGCACAATGCGGCCAGGGTGGCCGAGGTCTGGATGGATGAGTGGAGAGATTTTTACTATGCCATGAATCCAGGTTAGATAATCAAGTGTATCGTTTAATTAATTTCTGCAATGTTATTGTTAATTAGAATTGCGCTAAATGATGCCATCGTTGTGTACATCAATATCAGGATCTAAACATGCTGTAACACGAGAATTTTTTTCGTATTTTGCAAAACTATTTAATATACCTTAACACACATCCACTGTAATTTACATCAAAATATTAAAAAAAATCTGTTCTCGAGAATTGTGAAAGGGGGGAGCTTTTCGTCATATTTCGAAATTTCTAGACAGCTGGTGTTCATGTAGCGCTTAGCAACAATGTTATTTGATAAAGCATCTTTTAAAACCGCAATATTATATATCAAGTGAAACTATATCATACATACATTTGACGGGTATCTGATACAAACCGTTTATATACATTGAAATATTACAATTCATTATACAGCTATGTGACTTGCAGTTGTTTTTGAATGCATTGTTTTCTTGTTAACAAGTTGTTTCTCGCCATTTGACTAATAATTAATATAGCAGTCTTGCGTTGAGAGATATATATTTTTATAAAATAGTTTTTAACACATTATAGTTATATATATATATATATATATATATATATACATATACATATACATATACACAAAAATATACTATAAATTAGTTAACCATGTTCTCTATATGTGTTGTGCACATTATGATTTATGTATGTGTGTATTTACTAATATTTCATATATATAACATCAGTAGTTGTATACATTATGTCGCTAATATCTCTAAACTAGAGTTAAAAGAAAGATCTCTAACTGTAAAAATTATCTTCAGTAGAGAAAATTTACGTGATTACCGTCAAAATACTATACTCCGCTCTCACATTTGTCTTTAACCGACTAAGCAATAAGTACTATAATTTCCATAATGTGGAATTAATAGAGATAGACGCTAGCACTAAACATGGACATTTCAGAGATATTTTGTTTCTGTATCTCTCGATACAAATGCTGGTGTAGTCTTAACCACTCATCCATCCAGCCGACTAACCGATCGAGAATTGCGCTTGCTTTTAATCGAATCCTCTTGTCAAGCTACGTTATAGGTATATATAGGAGTCGCAAGAAGAGAGTTGCCAATCCACCAGCCATGAGTCGCAGAATACGATATACATTTACAATACATGTTGTTTTTTCCTTTTTTTAATTCTCTTATCGTGTTACCTATCATTGTGACTGCTAACACACTAACAGAATTGAGTTGGTTAGATATGGATGTGTGGTGGGACATTGGAAATTGCGACATGCTCGCACGTCGGGCACGTATTCCGTAAATCGACCCCGTATACCTTCCCGGGCGGTACCAGCAAGATAGTCAACCACAACAATGCGCGGCTCGCGGAAGTTTGGTTGGACCAATGGAAGTACTTCTATTACAACATTAATCCAGGTAGCACTAACACATCTTGGCGTACTAAAAAAAAGAAATCTGTCGTTAAGAGTATCTCTGTATATTATTCTTATGCATTGGTTGCTTTCCGAGACGGCGCATGCTTGAACGACTCGGAAGATCTGCATGTCTCCTTATTATTTTCTATTATTAATTCTCACACGGTTGCTCGCTATCTCTCTCTATCAGATACCCGTTAACATTTAATTTTGAAACATCATTGTTATGTTCAACTCTACAATGTATATTATTTAATAATGTATCGGATAATATATATAACAGAGGTACAATAGACGAACGAGCCATGTAAATGAATTTAGAGGTGTTACACTTGGAGCAAAATGTAAGTCACGCATGGCATTGAGAGTTTCATATATGATACGGTTTTATGTGATTAGAAACAATATTTCTAAAGTTACTCACAAAACAATTTCGATGAAGCACAATATATCTGTCTCTCTCTGCACGCTATATTTTACACATGTACAAAACAGTTATTGCATATATAGATCAATGCTACTTTATAAACCTCTTTACACTTTTCAGATCCCCAGAACAAAACGCTGTATAATTGCACAATTATTTTTTTAGGAGCATTAATATGTATCATATAATATCACGACAAATATCTTTATTTTAGCACAAAATTCTGCGACAAATCTTGTTTTCGATACGAATTTATCATACGTGTATAATATGTAAAGATATGTGTGAATAATCTTCTTCCACTTTACAATGATAAGGTTATTATGGTATTACAGAAAATCTCAATTTTTTTGTAGGAGCGCGTAACGTCGATGTCGGCGATGTCTCCGAACGGGTAAAACTCAGAGAACGATTAAAGTGTAAGAGCTTCAGATGGTATTTGGAGAACATATATCCGGAATCGCCAATGCCGCTAGATTATTACTATCTCGGCGACGTGAAAAATGTTGAAACGCAAACTTGTTTGGATACTATGGGTAGAAGGACTGGAGAGAATGTCGGAATTAGTTATTGTCATGGATTAGGTGGTAATCAGGTTTGTATTTTGTCTTTGATGAACAGAAATATTTCGAACATTATACTGGAAATCAAATCATTATTTCTATTTAGAATATTATCTCTAATGAAAACTGTGTTACTCAGGTATTTGCCTATACTAAGCGGCAACAGATAATGTCCGACGATATGTGCCTTGATGCAGCTAGTCCACAAGGTCCTGTGAAGATTGTGAGATGTCATGGCATGAGTGGTAATCAAGCATGGGTTTACAATGATGAGGTAAAAAACAGTGAAAACACGTACGAAAGAGAAAGATACCTGAAACTATTAATTTCGATGAATTAGTAATATTGTTGCTGACAAATTTCGTTTCTTTCACAGACCAAAATGATTAGACATACAAATACAGGTTATTGCTTATCGAAACCTCATTCGGGCGACGCGTCGCAACCCGTCTTGACGCAGTGCGATGTCAATAATATTGGCCAAAAATGGATCATGCGTAGCAAATTCAAATGGCAAGCCAGCTAATACGAATCGACTCTAAACGCCAGTTTTATACGCAATATTTGTTAATATATCTAATAAATGATAACCGAGAAGATGTGGACTCAGCGCGAAGAACCTTGCGCGCGTAGAACAAAGTATTACAACAAGTGGCTGAAGAGACAAGTTCAGTATCATGCCTAATCATGATTTAAATGTGTGCATTAAATGGAATTGACAGTGCGCGTGGAATCGAATCGCATCGTAAGCGAGATCGTAGTTAATTGATTAAATTCTATAGGATCCATTCGCTATTGATAGAATAGTACCGAGAATTTACTGCCATTCTTTGTGTATGGCACAGTCCTTAAGAGGTACGGCTTGTTTAATGCACATAAGAGTGACAGGGATGAACTTCTTTGACCGCGTGTAGACATGAGTGTGGACTAAACGATGAACAAAGTGAATTCTTTTTCTTCTTTCCTGACTAAGAAAAGCAGTAGAGAAGAAAGCATATCAGATGACACTGTTATAACTAAAATAATTGTTAATACAGAAGAGAGACATATTTGATAATTTCGGATGAGTGCAATGATGGATGATTGATTGACCATTAGATCAGTGCGCAATAATAAAATGTGAATATCCTAGAAATGCATCGCGAAATAATGACGGAATGAATGCTCGAATGCTAGTGAAATCGATGTGATTACGCTACCGATAATAATATAGAAGTTATTATTGTACAATCCATTTAATAACTAGGAAAGAGCACTGGATCTTTTTATATTCTAATAGTTCCTCCTCGTTGCATCTCGTTCGTATAATTTAATTGTTACGCGTCGTTTCACGTAAAGAATGTACTTATCCAGATTTCACAACAATGTATAGAGAATCCTTCCATCAGGTTTTAGTTAAATGCATGCGATTATTGATTGTCATTCATTACAGAGACATAATGCAATCTTTCAATGTTTTTTTAGAGTGTCTTCCCTAATTAACGATAACAAGCGAATATTTTCCCGGGACATTAACAGACATAGCGCACATTTACGAATTATTTATTAATTATTTCCCTAGATGATTTTTATCACGAAATTTACCGCGAAAATAGATCGCAATGAAAAATTACGCTTCAAAGTAAATAATTTTTATAGACACTTGTATTTCATGCAGAAACTAATTCAACCAGATCACGTTGTTTCAAATCCTAGTATTTTCCTCTTTAATATCATGTTTTGTGATAAAATGTCTTTTTTATCTTTCCCACAATTATGAAAATTACATTTTAGCTTAATGTAAAAAATTCCTAAATTTATAATTCTTCAGGAAAAGTATTTATAAATTTGCATTCTTGTGAAATAACTTCCAATACGATTTTAAAAGATCTTCCTTTGTAACTGCGATTGAATGATAAATATACTCATTATTCTTATGTAATCCAAAAGAATGTTATGGTGATGGTGCAACGTTAATAGCTTGACATTTGTCTTTTCTAAGACTGTGGTATTTATTTTTGTATAAAACACAAATTGAGATATGTTAAAATAAGTGATGTTATAGTTCACTTTATATAAATGATCTATAAAATATCCGTTCGTGATCGAGAAAAATGGTAGTCGATAGTACCTTCTTGCAAATACGTCATTCCTTAAAGGCTAGTTGATTTCGCTTTACGAAAAATGCTACTATTAATGAATAAAATCGCTAATGAACAATTTCCATTTTAATCATTTGCTCAATGAATATAACCGATGTCTCTGGCTTCACAGTTCAACTAATTATGTGAAATTTCGATTATTATAATAGTATGAACTGTGTAAGCATAATCTTTTGAAGACAATAAAATTACTTGTATATTCTATTGAGTTAAATAATATAAATTCAACTAATTTTCGATTATTATAATAGTATGAACTGTGTAAGCATAATCTTTTGAAGACAATAAAATTACTTGTATATTCTATTGAGTTAATTGAGTTAAAT